ACAATTACAAAGGTATAATAATCAGATTCACTTCACAGGGAATGAGTAATCATCATTGCTCTAACAAGCCAACAACAAATCTTGATCTCCACCCTCCCCATTGGCCATTTGGGAAGCAGGAGATAACTTCACGCCTCAACACAAGTAACTAAACCCGAGAGTTATCGGCGTGATGATGTGGTGCCCTTGACTCAAATCAATACCCGGTACTCATCAAACACAACAATATGGCAAGGAATCTAATGATGAGTACAACTAAAAGATGGAACCTTATCCGAGACGGATAAGCATCACTCGGACATATGGGATCATGAATGGATGAATGCATGTATATGCATTTATGAATGAATGCCTTTATGCGCATGCATGTATGAATGCGCATGTGTGCATGCATGAATGCTCATGTGTGCATGCATGTATGCATGTATATGCTCATGTATGTCTATGTTTGCATTCATATATGAATGCCCAAATGGATACTCAAACAAATAGACCCAGTGTGGAAGGCCTTATACATCCTGCCACAACCAAAACCAAGCATACTATCACAAGGGACCAAGTTTCAAACAAGGTCTTAAGGGCATAGTCAGTAAAGATTAATTTCAAAAATTCTCACAAACGGAAAATAACAGGAACTAACTAAATTACTATCTCATCAAAGTGAATCAAAAATTCAGGCAACATAATTTACCTTGAAAATCAGCAAAGTATAGCTAGAAATTGATATGGAACAGCAATTACATTTTGCCTAAGGACCTAACCAAACTGTGACAAGAACAGAATTTTGCAGTTAATTTCAAAAGGTAACCAGGCCGCTGTTCTTCTTAAGTCTGGCATCAATAAATCAAAATGTAATTCATCACATTTTAAGTCCAAGAAGGGACCTCATGCTGGTGTAACTTCTTACCAGAGTTTAGCGTGCAAAGACACTTCAAATTACAACCCAAGGTTAATTAATAATCAGATCATGTTTAAATAGGCAACTAGAATCAAGAGACAATTTTTTTTTTTTTTTTCATTTCACAGAGTCAAGAATTAGACCCATCACAAGTCATGGGTAAGAATCTCAAAAATGACACCATAATAAAATCAGGGGCAGATATACCTACGATATATGATCGAGATATTCAGATCAAGCATCTCAAATGACTAGAATTAATCAACATAACAAAATGAGGATATTTCTAAATATATCTGTCTTCACACTCCCAGTCCAACAACTGGGTTCTGCCTAGCTCATATAAGCAACACTCTATGCATTGTCATGCTTGTACTTTAGATATAGCAAGACAATCCAATATTAAATCACAGCAGAATAACCCATTAACTTGCATCAATTAAAACTTTCCAAAGCCATATCTATATGTCCAACATGTAGTCTCAACTTTAATCCAGCGTTGACTTATAGCCTAGCCATAGGCCAATTCATAATTGAGATTGCATATTAAGCATTCTTCTTAATTAAGCCCACTTCTTGCATTAGCCTTAGTTTAGGATCATGTTTAGCCAGATAAATATCATTTTAACTTCAATTACAGCTACCAAAAGTCGTAATCTATGCTCACAAAATAGAGGATTTGCCCAAAACAGACCAAAAAAAACAGCTGAATAAAAGGACAAAATACTGGTCAGATTCTAAACACAAAGGTTACAACAAGATTTTTGTCCTTGAAAGTGGCAGAACTGGTTTGAATGCTTAACCGGAAAATTAAACTCTATCTCTTAGCTTTCTATAAAACCAGGAGTGGCTTTAATCCAACATCTACACAAGAAGTTATGTACATAATACTACTCCCAGGTCAGGCTGCCAGAATTCAAATCAATTACATATGGATTGAGCTGGAAATCTTCGAAATTTAGGGTAGTTCCAAACCAGAGTTTAGTATAAATTCCATGACAATTTAAGACCAAAACAAGGGAACAATCAGCCTTGCACACCTCAGACAACGCAGAAATGAGCTCAAAAACAGCAACTTCAGGTATGGACATCTAGAAGCAAGTCTAGGCAAAAATATTTGATAGACTATTTAGCAGGAAAATTTCCCTCGTGTGAAACACTATCTCCTTTCCTGCAAGAGCATTTGGATATGTACAGAAACTAAGTGGCATCAGCCACAGCCTAGACATTGGCATGACATAGGCACGTATAACATATAGACTCAAATTCCAATAGGATTTCAATCAAAACATGAAAATTCCTGATTGATCAGTATCGCTTCACATCTAAGTTCATTATACAGGCAAACCAAGTTATCCACACAAAAATCATCAAATATCAAACAGATATATTGAACCAGAGTCATACGATTGAAACATGAGAGATGAACCAAAGTTCCAGAACTAGATCAATTTCACAACATTTACAATCAAAATTGTCCCTTGTATAACCCCATCACTCGTCTCACCACGATTCTAAAATCCATTGGCTAGCCAAGTTCAAAATAAATCCTAGGTATTTACTTAAACCTAGGCTCGGATATCACAAAATCTTAATCAAACCTAAGCTCTGATACCACTAAATCTGTCACGCCCCAAAACCCGAATTCGAGGCGCGACAGACGCCGTGCACTTGTGAGAAGATCCCACAAATGCGCAAGGCTCGGAACTTATCCAATTCACATCTGACAATTTAATAACTTAAATAAGATAATTCAATAATTCTATGTCCAACATGACTTAAACTTAAAATCACAAGGTAAAATCTTTCTTACAAAAAACATGATTTATTTCTAAAATTATATCAATCTCGAAATGGCTAGCCTTCTAACTCGTCACTTCCCGTGGTTTCCCCGTCCTCGGTTTCTCTTCCTGAAATGGTGGACAAGGAAAAACTATGAGATAAACTCAGTAAGTAAAAATGGATAGCCCTTGGGTAAAATTTTAGCATGCTTGATAAACAATTTAACATAACAAAACATTCCATGATAAACCGTTAATACAAAATCAAATTCAGTTCAGTAGCAAGCGTTCAATGACAAACCGTTTATTTAAACTCATAGCATGCCAACAAGTGTAATTACGAAAACGGATACAGTGCGGGAACGAAATAGACGTCTCCTCAATAGGTCATGGCCAATGTTTAAACCTCCCACTGGCAGGCTACAATATTTGCTGGTGTTTAACCCCCACTAGCAGGGTCAGTATTTGCTGGTGTATAACCCCCACTAGCAGGGTCAGTCGAACGAACCGGTCCTATCAATAACATGTCGACATGTGCTAGCGTTTAACCCCCACTAGCAGGGTCAGTAATAACATAACCACATCGGAGACAAAACAGGCAGAAGTCAACAGAAAATCATTCTTTACAAATAACTTTCAGATCATCAGGGCAGTTCAATAAGTTTCAAATAGGCATGCTCTACTTCAGAAAAACAGTGAAATTCTCATTTTCATTTCAATCACGCTCAATTCTAGAAAACAATGGAATTCCCCTTTTTATTTCAGAAAATAATACTTTCCATAAAAATCATCACAATTTTCATTTCAGTTAAATCACACTCAGATGTCGATAAAATCAATTTAAACCTTGCCACCATCTCAAAAACAATTTAAAACATGCTTTACAATCGAAGGGCTTTACCATAATTTACTTACCTCACTCGCTTAAAACCA